ACATTGCTATAACTTTATAAATATTGTAATAATGTCCAGTAGTTTTGCAGTGTCAGACATTTTCCGCTTGCTCATTTATTTATTGTATAAATAAATATCTTAGGATCATCCTCCTGGAAGAAGAAATATCTTAGCTTATTTGTAAACACATTTTTGACCCACAAGAAACCACACAGATTATTATAATGCATCAAGTTGAATATATGATGCAGTTATCTACTTTAATATGGCCTCTTTGGCTTCTTATTTCTTCACCATAGGCTCCAATTCTACAGTAAATAATCTCTTAAAGAAAACTGTGAGTACAAAACAGCACTGTGAGAATGTGTGCTCTTGATCAAAATGTACTTTGATCAAGTGTGCTAAAGGGCAAGACCTGATGGAAAGGCTACTGGCATCAAAGAGCTACCCTCTGATATCTGGCACCCTCTGCTGTTATCCTCTTTGAACCAAGAGAAAGAGGCAGAGGCAGGGGGAAAGCTGACCTCATAAGTCAGTAGGCAAAATGACACTGTGCCCATATCCATGTGGCATATATGAACAGTGGCTATTCAGTTAGGTACACATGTTCATCCGCTTGTTAATGCAAATATCTAATCAGCCAAAGATGTGGCAACAACTAAGTGCATTTAGGTATGCAGACATGGTCAAGAAGACCTAAGGATGAGAAAGAAAAGTCACTGAAGGGACTTTAAATGTGACAAGTTTGTTGGTGCCGGACAGGCGGGTGTGAGTATTTCAGAAACTGATTGACTGGGATGTTCCCCACACAACCATGTCTAGAGTTAACAGACAATGATTTGAAGAAAAGAAAATATTGAGTTAGCAACAAATCTCTGGCTAAAAATGTCTTGCTGGAGAATGGCCACATTGTTTTGAAATTATGGAACAGTAATAGTAACAGTAAGAGCATTTCCGAATGCACAACAATTTGTGATTATTGCTGACTGAACCGCTATTGTTACTGTCAGAACTGTCTGTTGTATATTCTACTACGTGCACTGATAACAAAGAAATAACCAGAGCCAAACCCCTTGTATGTGTAGACACACTTGGTCAGTACAGCTGATCCAACTCTTGCTGGGTTAAGATGTTCTCAGCTGAAAATGTGAGAGGAAGAAGAAACAAACTTGTGTGTAACACATCACTCTACTAGCCTGACAAATCAAGTCTGAACCTGTCCCCAGTACTGCTCTGTGATCAAGTCCTAGATCAAGATCAAGGCTATCCTGTAGTGTTTTGGGGCTTTTTTAAATTTAGAAAGAGCACTTTTATTGGACATGGATCGCTTAAGCTGTTCTTTGGCTTTCCTGTTTTCCAGTCTACAAAAACCTAATAATAGCCTTTCGCATCGTGACTTTTGACTCACTGACATCACAATCTTAGATAGTTGTTTGTTCTTGCTGACTTTGGTGTCTGAGATTGTTTTTGTTTTAATATATATTTTTGTATAGGCATGTCCTTGGCCCACCTACTGGCCAAGCCCAAATACCTGGGCTACAACTTCAAGCCTCAACATGCTGTTTTTTTACTCGACAGTGAAGATTTGCTGTTTGTAGACCGGAGAGGTGTTCAAGCTGTTAGTGTAAAAAAAAGTGTCTGTGTCATTTAGATCTATAACCTGTCTTCTCTTCTTTATTCCTCACTCTTTTCTTGGAATAACTGTAACCCACATAATTTTGTTAGGGATTATTAAAGTATTTTGACTCTGCTTGATTTTCTTTTATAAATTTCTATGCCCAATCAGTATTGCCAGTGGGCTTTATCCTTAGTCATTCTGTCCTTTTAACTATTTCTTAATGGAAATTCCACAGATGTTTGAAATATAATAAATCTTTCTTCTCTTTGTTCATGATTTGTGCATGACACAAAGCCAGGATGTATTTTCAGTCATTACAACTGCATCTTGTCCTTCTCTAGTCAGTCAGCAGAGATTGAATAATTAGCTTTGCTTCACTATTGAGCAGCTAATTAATTTGTTCAGTGCAGTAATTTCCTGGTGTCTCTGTTGCATAATCAAATTAATCCTTTGGATTAACTACCCATAAACAGAATTATACTTAACCTTAGATTGTTGCAGATCTACTCATTGTTATAAAGCTGAGTAGGAAAGAAAACATAAAACATAACTGTTTAAAATCTATTAACCTTACATATATCATTTGGTTATATGTAAGGTTGTTCCAACATACACACATATACAAACAGAAATATACTAATACTGCTACTAATAATGTGTTGCTAACCATTTTTCCTGTGTACCTCCCTAGTTTAAGAATAAAGGAGTTGTTAGAAACCCATGTGGTATCAGTCTTGTGTAAATAAAATAGGCTATGTCTACTGTTTATTTTTATTATATGTCGCATTTCGACAGCAGAAAGAAAACGTTTAATAAATGCTGAAATACAGTAAATACAGACAAAGTGCTTGGTTCACTCAGTTGATGTTAAAGAAGCGCAACACTTCAAAATACAGATAAAAAATTGATGTACATCTATGGCACAATAGTAATGTAAACATACAAAAAATTAAAAGAGCAATAGAAATAATAAATCAGAGAAAAGCAAAGGCAATAGATAAGCAGATTTATTTTGAGATGCTTTTTCGAAACCGACTGCCACTTCACAATTGGAGTATCCATGTATTTGCATTTTAATTGCCCTGTTTACAGGGACTTACATAACACAATTCATTGTTTCTCCTTCCGCATGCTTGGTCTCGCTCTCTCTCCTTTTTACCTCTGTGATTTCAGCTCAAAATGAAAATGAGGTTAATCAACAAGGTCAGGTTTGTATCCGTTTGTCTACTTTGCAGACAGCCCTTTAGGGGAGGCCGAACAAGCCATCTACTTTGCTGCTTCTTGGCTTCAACAGCTCAACAAACACGATTTAGTCATCTTTCCAATAAGCTAGTCTTGCTCCGCTGCACGTGCATATGAAGCTGTATAGAGTCATATTGCCTATTTCCTGTTGAAGGTGGGGGTAGGGCATTCCCAGAGTCACTGGATGGGAAACACCTCTGAGTCATCTGTGTAAGATGTGATATCACCACAGCATCATGAACAGAATAAGAGATTCCTTGTAAGTTAGTATAGCAGTGTACAGCACTCCTAACACAAAGACAGTCTCGACTTTCATTTGTTCGGTTATTTGTTTTATCAGGTTTGCCTCCTTTGTTGCTTATAATTTGCAGTTTACATTGTATTGATTTTAGGTCATCCGCACTCTTCCTAAATCTCTTGATGCGACCTTTCAACCCTCTAGATAATCACTTTATTTCCTCCTATAAATTGCCTTTATTTACACCCCTCTCTTCCACTGAAGGCTCACACCAAAAATGTCATATAACACAGGATGAGCCGTGCACAGTGGCAAACCATCAGGATCATTCGACTGGTATCCTTGGAGAGGTGGAGAGAGAGAAAGAGGAGAGAGCGACACTTGCCCAGCACATAATGGTCAAGGAATAATGAGGAGAGGGAGGATGAGAGATGATGAAAAGAAAAGGATGGTCTGTCGTATGGCTTCACTGACAAACACCATTACGAGGTGCCATGAGCTTTCTCTTAGCAGCTCTTTTTACCACGGGAGACAAATCAATGGGTTAATGCAATCTCTGGGTGAGCTGTGACTTTCTATATTGCATACAATGTCAGCATGATGCATAATACTCCACTTAGGAAGGGCGATGTCACCTTTTGGTCACTCCTTGATGGTATGAATTTGTTACACGATAAATAGGCTACACATAACCACTGCGATATTTGAAGGGAAAAGGACAGTCAGCATATTCCCTTCCCCCCCCCTTTCAAACCCCTGTGTGTGGCAATGTTTGTGTGGGTATATGCATGTGTATTTTTTATTGTTGTTGTTGTTGTTATATAGTATGAATATTAATAGAAAACTGCAGTAACCCTTGAGACATTAATTAGTGTGGCAGTTTTTCTTGAGTAAACAGAAGAGGTGCTGCCAACAGGTTAGAAACAAAGTGCAGCTACACAAGAGAAGAAGCGCTTCCTTCTCTAGTTCATTTCTTTTGTGTTTAACATCTTGTAGCACTTAGATAAACAGGCTACATCAATGCAGCAGTAGAATTTTAGACCTAGATAACGCCGCCACTGAAAGAAAGGTGCCAAATTGTGAGCAATTTTCCATTCCACTTAATTTTTTATTTGTGTTTCTGTGAATGCATTGCCTTCCCCATCTTGGTTTGAATCAAAAGTTTATCAGATCCACAACACAAGGCATTTTTTTATGCCCTCCAGTTGCCAATAGTAACCAAAGCTGGCCAAGAGCAAAATCCACTTAGCAGTGAATGAAGCGGAGAAGTGTTGAGGGTGGAGGGCTGTATTATATCGCTGAAGATTACAAGGACCTTCACAAGAGCTGTTGTCAATGAAGAGAATGCTGCATCAGAGTAATGGCCGGAAAGAATAAAACACCACCGGTCACGACCTTTGATTCTAGTCTTTTCTGCTCCCTTCTTTTGAATTCTTTACATCATTGTGTAACCACAAATGTTATGTAATGTTTGCAACGGTGCATGTCATTTTTAGACCCAGAGGAAGTGATGATGCAGGTCCAAAAGCCAGTGTGCACTAAATGTAATTTCATTGAATTAAAAATTTGAGAGGCCTGGCTGAGGAAAGCAGTGCCATTCTGGGTAGGAGAACTCTATTGGACTCTGCACTGGCAAGTCCATCTGTGATCAGTATATTGTGCAATCCAATATTCCTCCAATGCTTTTAGCTGATGGTGATTTAAAGGTTCCTCTTTGAAAGGCCAAGGATCTTTACTCCTCTGATGCACCTGCTGCACCACATCATCAAAGAAAGCAGGCCGTTCCATCGGCAGCAGGCTCCCGGTACGCATTACGTAGTTGCAGATCCACTCTCTACCAGATGATGGCGCGATCAGACTTGGGCGGAACAAGCACAGAAGGGGGCTGGATAAAATCCTGCCGGAGCCTGCCAATAACAGCTCGAGTTGCATCCCCGCTCGTACTACAGAGCCACACTGAGGTCTCTGCGCGTATCGCATAGCGTTAGGAAGCTGGCGGACAGAAAGAAGTCTTGCCGTTCTGACTGGATGAATTCACGAGCGCACAGGAAGACGTAAATAAAGATCCGATACGGCGTCGATTGCAAGGACAGCCCGTGCTCCGGATAATTCCTTTAGGTGGCATTAGACTCTCACACAGCCTCATTAAAGGAGCTTGGATCAGTGTTGCTCTCTGCGCTCTTCTCTCCCGCTTGTCAAACCAAAATCCCGAGCAAGCCAACGCTCTTACCTGAAAGGACACGCTTGCTTTGGGTGTGTGTTTGTGCTGTTTCCAACAGGATAATCACTTTCAACAAATACGCACGAGTTACCCATCGTCGCCGAAGTCAAATCACGGGGATTACGTTTGTTTGCAAAGCTCTTGACTGCAGAGACCGTATGTGTGTCCCCCTCCGCTGTGTAGAGAGCAAAGTGCTGATAAATCTCCTGTGACTGGACTCGGGACCTGAGTGAGGAGCTTCTCGGAACTGCACTTGACAGGAGCGGTTGGGACGAACCAGGACTGACCAAAATTCGCACCTGAGGGGGAAACTGAAAAACCAGCGAAAATGCCTCTTGCACAAATCGCGGAGCCATGGCCCACAATGGAACTAGTGCAGCTCGAAACCGAGGTAAAGGGAGGTGACAGTGTTGGCACTGGGTGCATGGCTTGGGCGGATTTTTTGTGCGTTTTTGCGCATTTTGTTTTCAGATTAAAATAGCCAACATTTGCGTGTGCTTTTTCACGAACAACCCCACATCCACTGTGTTCACCATTCACCACTTTCTATAAAAAGTGATTGAGAGTAAAGTTACTTGAAACGACTGAATAAAATGTGTATTTGTAATTGGGGTAACACAAGTTTTGCAATCAGACTGACTTGTCCATTCAAAAATCTTCACTGATATTCAGGTTTTTGGGAGGGGTAAAAGAACCAATCCAAAGCTTTGCCGGGCTCCCTTAACCAATAGAAAAATGCTTCATTATTATCAGTTCATTTGAGAGCTTTGGATTTCCCTAAAAGTAGCTTAAAGACCCCCACCCCCAGTTTAATTCACCTTCTAGTCAGTCACTGAAGCTCACGATCAATTCAATTGCAAAGCTCAACTCCACAGGGTAGATTAGTTTGTCGTGCCGTGTAAAGGCTCATCTTCACACTCTCTCACTGTTATCACCTCTATAGTGGCTTCTATAGATCGCTGTTTGCGGTATATAGGGTAATCACAGTGGGAGAAGCTGTAGCCTGATTATGGTGGGTGATAGATTTCAAGTCTAAGTTTGACTCTTATAATTTAATGCTAATGAGTTGCAGGTTAAACTGTAAACATTTGTCCGGCATAGTGCACAGAAACAACCTGCTTACACGAGGGAGGATGCCTGCTATCAGATTTGAATGCTATCTGGTGTCCATCTGTAAGCCCTAGGGAGGTGCACACAATATAAAATAAGCTATAAAAAAGTGCACGATACACACCCAAGATGCATGTAAAGCAATATAATCAAAAATGCATGCATATCAGTGTTCAGCATGCTTTTTCCTCATATTTCACTTCAGAACTTATAGAATTAGGGAAATAGTGAGAGAGATTTGTAGCCACAGTGTTGTCCACCCTCCTGTAATTGTGTTGTTGCATTATTATTAATGAGCACTTCAGGTGCTGCTTGCAAGCTACCACATTTATGGTTATGAAGGAAAAAAAATCAGACTGCAATCTAGTCTAGTCTCTCTAGTTTGCTGTGTTTTAAAACAAAACCTGGCTTGTAGTAATGATACTGACAGTAGGCACAGTCTGGTTGTTTGGATTTGCTCTTTTTAATTACCCCTGCAATTAAGTGGGTAAAGTGATGTGATGCTCCTGTTTCAGGTGCCTGATCTCTACAATGAATAGCTTTGTGCATACTACTGCAAGTCTCCTCAATCAGCTTTGCGAGATCTGTCATTTAGAAATGAAGCTCATTTTTCTACCTCTCAGTCTGCATAATCATTCTGATGTGATAGCAGTGGGAATTTAACTTGGTTAGAGAAAATGTGAAATTGTCTAAATTTGCTCTATTAACCTAACTGCAACACAAGAAATATCCCAGACAGCTTAACAAGTCTTCACAAATTAGACCCCTGCAGTTAATATGAAGATTTGGAAATTGAAAAATCTCCCCCTACAGATTCAGTTACGGCAGTTACTGTTGGAGGAGAGAAATATGAGTCTAAGAGTATAATGAATGGAAAGAAAAGTCTGTGGTTAACATTCAAACAGAGTCATCTTGACATCGTTTGTTCACGCAGGCACCACTATTGACAGTATTCTGCAGCATGTGAGTTGGCTGAGTAGCATATCACAGCTGAACAGATGGTGGTGCAGAGCCTGTGAAGAGTGCTAAGTTTAACGCTGTGAAAATGCCCTGCCTTTGGAACGTGTTATAGTTACAACTCTGTGAATCAAATCTGTGCAATTCCTGGTTTAAAAAAAAGTGTGTGTGTGTGTGTGTGTGTGTGTGTGTGTGTGTGTGTGTGTGTGTGTGTGTGTGTGTGTGTGTGTGTGTGTGTGTGTGTGTAAAAAAATAAATAAAATAAAATAAAATAAAAATCAGGATATATGATATATATATATATATATATATATATATATATATATATATATATATATAAATTTTATATGTATATCTATATTTTGGTGTTTTGTTTTGTTTTTTTGTTTTTTTTATTGTGTTTCAGCGTTGGTTACTGAAATCCAAGATCTGTAATTGGTTAGATCAGACAAACACTGCCAGTCAGGATGGGATCTCTGCCATTTATCTCCACCAACCTACCAACCAGCTGCACACTTTGGTTTCAAATAGCTTTGGGATCAGATTGATTGAGCAGAAAGCTTGAGTTTTAGACAGGAGGCCGTGCCAGTGAACATGCGAGTCATATGGGCAGATGGAACAGACAGAGATACGCACTTTTGGATGATTTAGAAAAAAAAAAAAAAGGGAAAAAAAAACCCACACAGAGAATGATGTGCTCTGATACACCAACTGATGGGAAGTCTGTTTTCCCTTCATCACTCATAATAAAAGTACTTGTGTTTGGAGCTCATCACCGTGCCATGAATGGAAAATGGTTAAATTCGCTTTTGTGCTTTATTCTGCGACCAAGCAAGCAAAAGAGAAACGCGTGAAGTGAGCGATTTGGGAAAAAAAGTGTTTGATTGAGACCTTTTATGCCATATCTGTTGTGAATGAACTTCAGTGATTCATCCCTGATAAAGGCACTTTAACAAATATGCTCATGCTGTCCCAGCTGAGTCACTAGCACCTGCATGAGCCCCTGTCACTACTACGTTGAGGCAGGTCCACCAAAAGTTCTGAGTCATGCTTATGTCAGTATTTGGTAATTGTGGATTTCAAATAGAGGAAAAACTGCGCCGATCCAAATGAGTAAATTCCTCCACTCATATTCGACATATTTTCCACGTCGACCTTCTGTTTTGTTTAATTTTTAAGTTCACAAGATTTCCCTCTCGCTTCTGTGTCAGCTCAGGTTTAATAGCTCATAAGTGCGGTGAGATGTTGGCAGAAAGTTGTCATGTACAAGCTGGCCAGGTTGGTTTAGAATGTATTTCAGTCCAGATCTGGGCCCACATCTGTTGGCTTAAAATTAAAATGTAAACATGCGTGTTTATTTATAAGAACTTCTCAAGCCGTGGCTTACAGAGCAGGATTCCACAAGCTTATGTGGCGAAGGAGGTTAAAATAAGTAAGATTGATAGATGGAATGTGTGCTGTTTCCCAGCAAGGTGTGGTCAGCAGTGTGCTGTCAGGTTCTTGAGAGTTCATTTCACATTCATGCTTTGGTGTGTGTGTGTGTGTGTGTGTGTGTGTGTGTGTGTGTGTGTGTGTGTGTGTGTGTGTGTGTGTGTGTGTGTGTGTGTGTGTGTGTGTGTGTGTGTGTGTGTGTGTGTGTGTTCGCACTGGCAGGCTTAGCTGCAGCTAATCTGGGTGTGATCTGTGGAGCACCTGAGCACCTGGGAGTGGAGGAAGGCATGTGATAACATAACCCTCAGCTTGATAGGTTCAAAGAAAGATTGTGTTCTAATACCTTTTTTGGTTTTTAGAGGTAAATATTAATCAAGTCACTAAAGCCTGAAGTGTACATTGCACAGCCTCAGCCATACCTGTAGGCAGTAGTGCTACTCTCTATCTTTTTAAGGTTGCCGACTTCTGAAAGGAACTACTTGGCACACAGTAAAAAGGAGAAACACCTATTATCCTTTTTCTGGAACTGACTAGAAGCTGTCAATATTCACTGATGAGATTACGAGAAATTATTTCAGATAGTATTACAGGAATAGAGAATAAGTGGTTATTGTATTTCTTAGTTGCCTAGTTACAGGGCTGTACTGCTCACACTGTAAAACGTGGACTTATCTGTCAAACTCACACAGACCAACAGTGCTCTGAGATTTTTTTTAATTTGCCTAATCATACAGAGTCCTGTGAGAAAAATGTGAATTTCTGCTGTCTGGCTCAGACTTGCTTAACACGTTGGTCTTTAAATCGGTTTACAGCATGCTTGTGGTCTGAATATTTCTCCCATTGCACATTTTTTTGCTTCTGTGTTTGTATTTAAACGGCACACTTTGAGCATATTTATATGCCCTTTTTTGTGTGCCTGTGCTCTCACTAAGGAAACCCACTGGGGGGGAAAAGCACCATTAACTGGGCCACTTGGATCAGCCATGCAGTGCTAATGAGGTTGAAATGTGTTGAGCAGCAACGTCAGAAAGACGATGCGAACCGCACACACAAACTTACACAGTTACATTCACACAAATAGAATCCCCAATCCTGGTACAAACAAAGCTAGCCACACCGATATAGGGAATACCAGAGTAAGGCGGGGAGAGTTCCTTCAAAGTAGCCTGATGTGTCTATTACACCAACAGACTCTGCACTTCCTCAAGATTTCCTTTATCATTCCTTAAACACATCTGGGCCTAACTTTTGACTGTACTTCGCCATTTAATTGCTTCCATTTTTCAGTTTTCTACCCTATCCCCTCACATTACGGCTATTAAAATCTTTATGAGTGGTGCAGTATGGCTAAATTAAATCTCCCCCCCTTGATCATGATTAAAGTCCAACTTGTAAAAATTCCTGGAGGTGTACAGAGCTGTACTATCCCTGCAATTTAGAAGTACTACTGGAATAAAACTCAAAGCAGAAAATGAGCCATCTCATTCGGTCGGCAGGCACATCCAGTCTTACAGAACGGGAGCGAATGTGTTCTGAGGTATTACAGCGACAGTAAACTAAATCCACAGTCTGCGTGCTTTCTGTCAGAGGGCCTTTTTTTTTTTCTCCTTTCAGCAAACGAGAGTAGCAAAGCTGCTCTGCTGTCGCTGCCTGTGCCTATATCTTAAAATCAAGCTGTATTAATCAGCACACACAAGAAATTTCCCCTACTGCACTCAGCGTTTCTATACAGGAACAGCCAGAACAGATAAGTAAAAGTAAAACAAAGCTGTAAGTGGTGTACTTTACAGTTAAGTGTTTAAGGAATAATTGTCTGTTTTGTCACCTTTTACAGTTTTTTTTCTCTATTTCCTCTTATTTAATAAATAAGTAAAATAAATATTTAATGTACATGGGTATATTATTGAGCAGGTATATTTATTTAGCCTTTATTTAATGTCTAATTTACAAGAGAGACCTGATTCAGACAAGCATTAAATCATAGCAATAAAAAATAAATAAAATTGTTTAATGCATGTATACATATATGCTGTTTAAGTCTACAGTTAACAAAACAATGTATTTAAACAGTATTGGGCAAAAGTCCTGAGTCACCCCTAATTTTTTCATATTTTTCCAGGATACTGGGAAATATGTGTAACCATACTTGGAAATACAGTATATAAGACATAAGCAGTTTGCACAATTCTAATAAACTTGAGAGTAAATCTTTGTTATGACTGCCTTCATTCTTCAACGCAGCCTGAACTTTCTTAGACAAGCTTTCTGGTAACTTCTTTAAGTTGTCTTCAGGAATAGTTCTCCAGGCTTCTTGAAGGATATATCAACACTGTCCATTGGATGTTGGCTCTCTTTTCTTCTGTTGCCTGTAAAGATGATCCCATACTGCCTCAATAATGTTGAGGTCTGGGCTCTGGGGAGGCCAATCCATGACTGATCTCCAGGTATGCTGTAATTGCATTGGCACTGTGTTTGAGATCATGGTCACGTTAAAAAAGAAAGTTGTTCATCAAGCAATCACATGCTTTCCAGCTGGTATTTCATGGTGGATCAAAATCTTTTGGGACTTTTCTGTGTTCATAATTACATTTTGGTCTATAAACCAGCTCTGCACTGGATAATGAGTCTAATGATCATCAGAGTAAGCACCTATAGAAAGAAACTCCCAGGGTTGTTCATTTCAATACAATTTACGTCCTTTCTGTTTATTGCTTGTCATTGTGTTGACTCCCTGTTGTGTTTTCTGCAGTCTGAGGGAAGAGGAAGACTGCATCAAGGAAGTGAACAGTCTCATTCTGAAATGGGAAAAACAAAGCATAAAGCGGAAATGGGGTGGGGAGGTTGTTTTTTTTTAAGTCCTCACTCATGTGTTTCCTTAATCACTGAAAGCATTCAGTTATAAGGAATCTCAAAAAGTAGAGTTTAAAGTACACAGGCCCTGAGCATGAAGGGTGGATCTGATGAAAGAGTGGGATCATGCAAGAAACTGAGGTCAGGTTATTTGAACCTAGCAGTGCAGTGTCACATTAAACAGAACTTAATAGAACTTGCCTTTGAGATAGAACTCTCTTCTAATGCAAAATGCAGGAGCTAGGAGACACATTTTCTGACGAGACAGCCTCTGATGAACATTAGTAATGCCGGAGTGCACAGTTAATCGCTTATGCCATTAAAATGAAGTTTGTGCCTATTGTGGGTTTTAAGCTATATCAAAACAGTTTTAAATAATAACCAATTTCATACGGGTCTTTCATTTTTGCTAAATTGCACTGACTTCTTCTGTCTCGTTAAAAATGAAAGAATGCAAAAAAATAATATGGACATATTTGTGTAGATATCGCCATAATGTCAAGATGTTATGAGTCGTAACTTTGCATATTAATGCAGTTCAGTTATTAAACTTGCATACAGTTGCAACAAATTCTAGACTGGCGTTGTGCACCTCAGGCCTGGATACCTGAGATAAAGATGAAAGAGTTTAAACACACTATTCTGTGTTTTGAAGAGGTGTTTGAACCTCATGCAAGCTCTTATTAAATGTCTAAATGCTCTTAGCCAGCTAGACAGTCGGTCTTCGTCTGCCTGGCCTCTCTGACCAATGATCCTGATTTGGACTGACATCATCGCAGCCCCTGCTACATAAAACATTACATCACTCTCCTCTTGTTATCGTTCTGCTGTGGCTTTTTCTGTCTCTCTCTCTTTCTTTTTTTTTTTTTTTTTAAATCTTTGTTTGCAGTGGAATAAGATCCACATCTAATCAACTAATCTGTCTGAAATTCCACCATATGTTCAAAGTTAGTCACTCACTTCTTCTGTGGGAACAGCATGTTGATTTTCACAATAGCTACCATTGAATCATTGTTTTCCAAATACCAATGATTACCCTTTTCAGTGAGACTTGCCTACTGAGGATATGCAATTGTGTGTTGGCCTTAGATTATTAGGTTTGCTAGTGAAGGAGCAAAGTGCTGGATACAGTGGACTGCTGCCGCCCACGCAGTCTTGCAGATATCGCCGTGCCTCGCTTCTTCCTCCTTTAGACCCATCCAGACACATGTGATATATGCACGTAACATCCACACTGACCGACTTTTTCTCATCTGCTTGTCTTGACAGAATGGACAGAGCACTACAGAGGATGGAGTCACAACTGCTGTCAAGGTAGGTGGCATTTCTGGAACAATGACACGCACTCGCACAAACATGCACAAATGTGACTCAATATTCATGCAGCTTAACGTCCAATAAATTACAGCGAGAACTTGGACGCAAGTCTTGTTTTGAATTCTTGGCTTTTGCGCGCGCTCTTCTGTGAAGACGAGCAGCAGAAGGCGAAATTCCATCAAAGGGCAAATTTTTGTGCGAATCTTCATTTTGAGCCGTTTCCATCTCTGTAGCAAAAAAGAAAGCCGTGGCGCTCTGTCACGTGTCAGGCGTTTGCAAGTGTGTGACTGTGCGTCGATTTATTCATTTAGCAGTCGCATTGACAGCCCTGAGAGGGTATTAGCTGGCTCAAGTTTGATGTGTTGAATATTCCCTGAGTGAGGCTGATTGAGCAGCAGTCTGGCTAATGGGTATAGTGATGAGTCTGGTTGACTAGAATAGAAAGGCCATGTAGTGTTACACATAGTGCACGTCCTGATCTGGCCCGCTTACATGCCAACATGTCATACAGGGACAAACGCACATCAGCTCGCACTTACAGAAACTCGGTGAAAAAACACTGCGTCAGCCCTTTGTGCCTCCTGGTTGGCCTCTGCCCCGTATTGTCCGGCTCTGAAATATGATCCCGCTTCCCCTTGCACTCTGTTCAGTCATGTAGCAGAGGACAAGGAAATGTTTGTTCTTGCGTAGCTAGCCTCTTCTTTTATGGCCTCACTCTCAAGGGGAAGAGCCTCTAAAGAGCGTGTCGTCTTTTCTTTCAGTGCAATGTCACAATGTGCTGTGACCGTGGACGAGCTGAATAAGAAAGGTTTTTGCTTTAGGAGTCCATGCACATATGCCACACTGGGCAAGGCAATTAACGTTTGAGGACAAGAATTTAAAAGAACAAAGGATTGTTCTTTTATCTATGAATTTTACTGCTACGTGATCAAGGATTGGGGATTTTTTTTGTGTGTGTGTGTGTGTTTACGCATACAAGAAAATGGCAAATCTATGCAAATTTACCCCCCAAAAAATCATCTTTGTGCTCGAACCACTCTGTTCTGCTCCTGTGAACTACATGAGGACAGATTTGTCAAACCCTTTTTCTTTAAACAACTGATTTTTCATTTTATCTCCAACTTCCTTTAAATAATGAATTTGGAAATGATCATGCACACTGTGGATATTATCTTTGTACCTCATTGAACTTGTAATAATAGCAACCCAGACACCAAAAATGAAACCAGATTTGTCATGTCACAGCACATCTGGCCACATGAAGTCATTATTGGAAATTGTACCAATCCAGCATATTAGATTACTACATCCCTAATCATATAATGTCAATATGAGTCTCCAAAAAGTGGCTGATATTCAATTATGACTCAGTCCTGGTAAGCACTGTGATAATTTACATGTTTTGCTAATTAACCGGTGCATTCCAGTAATCTGATCAATTATGTAATCTCTTTAAATAGGCTGCTGGATTTTTCTCTCCTCTGACTCTGCAGCAGTGCTATCTTGTGCTTCTTCCACACCATGATAGATGATCATGGGTTTTTGGTAATATGCTGAGAATAATGGACCACTATATTAGGAACTCAACCTGCTCTCGCTCTTACCTGGGATGCCCAGCCGATACCTATTAATCTCCTTGATGCCTTGAGCTGTCTTTGATGCTTCAGACATAGTTACACATCTCATCCTCCTAGCGGCATAGTGAATTCGGGTCCTTGTCGAGCTCCTGCTTGCCTTAGACAAGTTTTCATCTAAAGCTGGCGTAGTGATCTCGTAGTGCCTTCTGCATCTCTGTGTTAGAAAAACTACAATGAGAACACTAACTTGGTGGAGTCTTTAGGAGATGGGTTTGTTAGCCCCATGTAGGGTTGGGCAGTATAGCCTCAAAATTAGATCACGATATCTCATGATGTAGGAAAAAAACAATAACTTTTGAATGCAGCTGTATTTGCAAGTGTAAGGACGTAAAATATATTTTCCATCTTTTTCTCTAATGAGCTACTGTCAGCTGTCAGTGCTGACATAGTACTTAATTAAAATGTTAATCTATTGGAACAAGGGGCCAGCACAAGAGGAGTCAACTGTGAGTACAAACGTATTTTAATTAAAAGTATAAACTGCTTAACACTGGAGTTCAACATTGACTAAAATAACTTGACCTTGTAGCTCGACAGGAACCCTAACAATGTTGTCCGATAATAAAAACTGAAAAATATATATATATATTTTAACCTAATTTAATGTTTTCTTTATCTTAGGCTTTGGGACTTGAACTTTTTGTATCCACACAAGTAATTTCCATCAATGTTTGCTCTTACTGTCATAGGGAGTGCAACCAGCTGGTGCAGCTAGCGAAGCCTGGCTGAGTCATTTGTGTACATTTAGGTCACACATCACAAGCTGCTGGTATCTCCTCCTTCGTAGCCTGGTTGTACTTGACGGTTTTAGTTTTTTATCATTATTATTTTTCTTTTGAAACAAATGTATTTTTTTTCCCACGTTAGGTTTGTATTTCCTAGTGAACTCTGCTTTCTTGGAGCTTGCTGAAGTAGCTCTTTAAGTACTAAATCATCATCAGAGGCACTCTTGCTCTCAGACATGCCTGGGCTTGTCTTACTGTTATGCCTACTTGAGAATTGGTGTATATAGTGTTAGTATAGCAATGATATCGCTGTTTGCCTGCCGTGGTTGACCCTACCAGGGCTAAATCTCCACTAGTACGGTTTCCAGAATTCAAACACTTTCCTCAAGCCTACCCACCATAACATGGTAGCAGCACATGGCCAGGAACTAAAGATGAAGAGGCTAAAATGGCTTGGCTGTGTTTTATGGATTCAGAGAATTTCAAATGCTGTCTTGAGATGGGCCAGTGTTGGAAAGTGAAAGAGGGGCAGGCCGAAGACCATCTGGTGAAGGATATAGATGGCAGAGTTGGAGGAGATTGGATTTTCACGAGGTGAAGTAAGTGCTCAAGCCCAAAACGGTTTCAAGTGGACAAAAAATATTGCAGCCATATGATCCACCAGGGAAAGCATGCTCTACTCTAGCACATTAGCAAGACTTGGAAAGCTTTTCCAGTTTCATGAATGATAGGATTGGGAAAATATTAGGAATGCTGTTTTATGTGATCATTTTAGGTGATCATTTGACTAAAGGTTTTATTGCACAGTCAACAAAGCTAAAAATGTAAGTAGTATGTAAATAATGAATCACACCGTGAAATGCTAGATGTTGGTGGGGTTGAAGGTAGACCTCATACCCAGACTGTCATAGCATCACGCAGGCAGAGCAGTTGTAACCAGGCGCTACAGCGATCAATACTGAGCTGCTCTTTTAATGCTGGGAATCTGATAATGGCGGCTGTTATCTACTCTAGCCATGGGAGTTACCTGCCTCCAGCAGACCTAATAGAGGAATGGATGGTGTGAGAGAGGCAGGGTTTAGAGGCAACAACTGAGAAAGAGAGAGCACAGTGTTGGGAAAGAGAGCACCTGTCCTTGTCGTTCAATGATGTTAAAACCTATGACAGGCTTTAAACAATAACGTGATGGTCCTCAGCATTAAGCCGTGAGTGTTTGGGTCTGGGGGTGGTGAGCTCAACTGGGTTCTCTCTCTAATGAGCGATCTGCTCTCTCCTTTGTCTCGTTGTGTAAAAGCTGAGCGACATATGATTCTTGCCTAGTAGAGCTTCCCAAGCTATTTTTGGACCCATTAAACTGATAGTAATCATGATCAATATCTGTCTCTCTCGGTGAAGCAAGATGAAACTCATTTCTTCTTCACACTGACACAGATAATCAGTTTCTTTATTTACAAGTGGAATGTTATTAAGTAGATTGAATTAATCCTGGAGGCCATAAGATGATTAATAATAGTTAATAAGAGCAAAGAAAATTGCGACGCACTTTTGTTCAACCATCAGTCTACAATGTACCAACATAATGATACGTTTTCTCAAGGAGAAAAGAAAGGAACGCAGCAAATCCTCATATCTGAGATTCCAAAGAGAAATAATATTTTGCTACCTAATTGACATAAATGATACATTATCTCAATTGCTACATTAGGGGAAAACAACTCTTATGAATAATGAATAGATTATTTAGCCTATACTATCAGCACTGGCCTTCTCCGTTTCATTACTTTCTGTCAAAACAGTAAAAGTTATTTCTTGTATTATTGCATATGCTTTAGACCAGCTAAAACTAAGAATTCCAATACTTTGATGTGACATTAGAGTAGCAGTTAAAAAGACAGCCTTTGTATTGGTGTGATGATATCAGACCGCTGTGGACAGTCACCTGAGAAAGGAGGGTACTTAGTCGTGTCGTCGCAAGGGGATGATCTTACCCAGCAATTTAGTGCCTGGCAGGGTGCCAGGCTTTCAGTGATCTGCTACCACAGAAGTGATGCATTTGGCCTATTTCTAGCAACAGATCACATCAACTCCATTGCCCTTGAGGATGCCAGTGAGGAAGATTTGTTCAAAGAGCTGAAACAATGAATAAGACAATAACAACCTCAAACAGAAAAATTGAAAAAGGCATCGCATACTGTGCAGTGAGTGATGAGAGGTCTACCACAGGGCTGTCAAAAGAAGATAAAAACTAATTAGCCTGCCGAGCACGCAATAGGTCACCAAATCCATTTCAAGGAAAAAACCAACCATGCTCTGTTTCCACCTTCTCCAATGAGATATTTTGTTTTCTAGAAGTGTAAGGAAAGTAACAAGAATCTCCCATTTTTAACGACGTTCCTCTATTGGAGGAGCTGATTTACTTGCTGTGTGTGTGCGTCAGCTTAACCCTCCTAAGCTCATAACTGTTTTATCAGGGATTTGTGGGTGTGCTTTGATTGATAGGAGCCTGAAATTGACAGCAAACAACCCACAAACTGCCATTAGATTTGGACTCCGATGTCGGGAAATCATGATTGGTGCTGGGCATCATGATCTTTTCACAAACTTCAAACTATTGACACAAAAAGGCCGTACTGCT